CTCGTATTTTTTTCTGAACACACTCAGAGACCTTTAGAAGGGAAAATTAATCGGGTGTTGCTTTACATTTATAATCAGAATGATAAGGAATGCTGTTTTATGTGTGTTGTTATTGTAGTCTTACTGTAGGTAATATACTGGATTAATGTTTGTTAATAGAGTCAGTTGCTCTGATGTTTCTGCTGCTTCATGCTTGTGTAGAGCTTTAGTGATTTTACTTCTAATGAAAACCATCATACATACAGTCCAGAACAGAACAGAACAGGGTTAAAACCGTGTGCTGGAAACCAACCTTTTAGGATTATTGTAAATTTAAAACTTAAACTAGTCCCAATTATGGTTGAATCACGGAAGCTACACCAGTTATTTTGTCAAGAGATTTCTTGTTTATTTTTGTGTTACATTGATGTGTCATTGCACACAATACTTCTATGCAAACTAAATATAGCTCATCCCAAATCTCTCCTCAGCAAACGTATACAAACACACTCTGCTTTCTCAAAATATAATATAAAAATTATTATGAAGAATATTAATAAAGAAAAAATACTAAAAAATAACATTAAGCAATACAATTTTTGTTTTCAATTATTCGTGTTTATTTGAAGGAAAGTACACTTTAATTTGAATTGAATTAAAAGATTATTATTGATACAGCCTTACTGAACTATACTATATTAATATAATAGTTATATATTTTCACACTGTACAACTTTAGACTTTTAATTCTTCCATTTCCTTCTATTGACTAGTCTTTAGACTAACTTTCACATTCTCATTTATAGATGTTTCTAAAACTAATCTTTTTTTTTTTTTCATGTCTTTCCTTACAGAAGGAATGTGTTTGGACCATTACATCCAGTCATTAGAAGCAGAGCTGTGGGACGTGTGGACAGACATTGACTGTAATGATGGACTTCTGCTGATGGACAGGTATGTACATGCTTATGTTTTACTGTGCTAAACATGTAGGTTCCCATCATTTTCTTTTTGGAGGGTGACCCCTTTAAAAAGCAAATGATGGGAACCTAAATAGGTGGGGAAGGGACGGCGGGGCAAAATTTTTAGACAGCTAATTTTCATTGTATAAAAAAAGCATAACCCCTGCTGTACATTGTGGTGGGGCTCGGGGGGGACCCAAATCATCCCCGCCCCTTCACACATACAGCATTCACTCGTATCGCGGAGATCTGGCTGGGATCGAACCAGCAACCTCTGAACCCGTGAGGCAGCGCCCTTACCTGTGAGCCACAGATCTCTTGCTGATACATGTGCTGGAACTTATATTTCACTCTTGGAGTCCTGTGATTTTACAATAAATCATGCTGAGGTGGGGATCGAACCCATGTCTCCAGTGCAACCCATCAGACGAGAACGTGTGTTAAGCCACTGCACCACTGTGGCTTTCACACTGAGATCTGGTGTTTTGGCCACTTTGTTTTTATATAATCACATCAATTTTACGCTCATATCTCATTTACTAATGGAAAGCCTTTGTGCGTATATATTCACACACTCATATTGCAGAGACCCGGCTGAGATCGAACCAGCAACCTCTGAACCCGTGAGGCAGCGCTCTTACCTGTGAGCCACAAATCTCTTGCTGATGATGTGCTGGAACTTATATTTCAGTGTTATCCTGAGAGTTTCCAATAAAGCAGTTAAAGTGAGATTCAAACCTGTGTCTTCATCAGTCGTGTGTGTTTATCCGCTCGCCCATCATGGATTTCACGTTGACAGCTGGTTTTTTGGGCTCCTTGTCTAATGAGAACTATTGAAAGTCAGCAATAGTGGGACTTGAACTCAGGACGCTGTGATCGAAACACAACTCTTTCTCTCCTGAGCCACTGAGTCTGCTGAGATGAAGAGCATTTTCAACCGGTTTGATCCAGAGTTTTGTGTTAAATGATGAATAACTTTAACAAACATGGATCTGAAACAGGACTTTCTGGTTGGTAAGGTTGACAACTATACGCTGAGCCTGTGAGTCAATTATGTTGTTTTAGATTTCAAGTTTAAAGTTCTTAGCGTATGTAAAAGATTATCGTCATTGATTAATAATTCATTGACTACTCAGATCTATTCTTATAAAAAAATGTTTTTATTTTAAGTTATTCTTTGTATCAACTGTATCAGTGTGTGTGTGTGTGTGTTTGAATTGTGTTGTCCTATCGTCTTTCTATATAAATGCAAAAAAAGTCATGTAGACGATGGAGTTTACATAGATCTCCGCTGATGGTTAAGCTGATTCTCGGGAATAAGACTGAATTCGCAAGGCCTACAATCACCACATGAGGGGGCAACTCTTTTATATTTATTAGAATTGAGGTGCAATGGTCTAATTCACACAAATCACCAAAGGAGGGATACACTCTTTTATGTTTTATACACTTGATTTGCAATGGTGTAATTCACACAAATCACCACTGGAGGGAAACACTCTTTTATGTTTATTACACTTGATTTGCAATGGTGTAATTCACACAAATCACCACAGGAGGGTGACACTCTTTTAAGTTTATTACACTTGATTTGCAATGGTGTAATTCACACACATCACCACAGGAGGGCGAAACACTTTTACATTCATTGGACTTATATTGTTTTGTTGTTTTTATTTGCAAATATATCTATTTGAATTTTGAACAGAAGACAGGACGGAACATAGATAGTGTAAATAGTTCTGTTTGGAAGTTCTTATGTTTTTCTCCTCTCACCCTCTTACAGAAGTGTAGCGCATTTACACTAGCTCGTTAGACGATGTAGTTTACAAAAATCTCCGCAGGTGGGTTAAGCTGATTTGCGGTAATAAGACTGAATTTGTTAGGCCTAAAATCACCGCATGAGGGGGCAACACTTTTATGTTTATAAGACTTGACTTGCAATGGTGTAATTCACACAAATCACTGCAGGAGGGTGACACTCTTTCATGTTTATTACGCTTGATTTGAAACGGTGTAATTCACACAAATCACCACAGGAGGGCAAAACATTTTTATGTTTATTTAGACTCGATTTGCAACGGTGTAATTCACACAAATCACCACAGGAGGGCGAAACGTTTGTAAGTTTATTTAGACTCGATTTGCGACGATGTAATTCACACAAATCACCACAGGAGGGCGCAACACTTTTCTGTTTATTAGACTTGATTTGCATCATTTTAATTCACACAAATCACCACAGAGGGCGACCCTCTTTTATGTTTATTAAACTTGATTTGCAATGGTTTAATTCACACAAATCACCACAGGAGGGCGACCCCCGTTTTACATTCTTTGGACTTATATTGTTTTGGTGTTTTTATTTGCAAATATATCTATTTGAATTTTGAACAGAAGACAGGACGGAACATAGATAGTGTAAATAGTTCTGTTTGGAAGTTCGTTTTTCTCCTCTCACCCTCTTACAGAAGTGTAGCGCATTTACACTAGCTCGTTAGACGATGTAATTCACGAAGATCTCGGCAGGTGGGTTAAGCCGATTTGCGGTAATGTCACCACAAGAAGGTGAAACACTTTTGTGTTTATTTAGACTCGATTTGCAACGGTGTAATTCAGACAAATCACCATAGGTGGGCAAAATATTTTTAATTTTATTTAGACTCTATTTGCAAAGGTGTAATTCACACAAATCACCACATGAGGACATTTTTATTTACCAAAAATTGACAGATAAGAGTGGAAGAGCCAGTGGCTTAGTGGTCTGACCGTTAGATCTTGGCGTGGGCAATCCAGGTTCAAATCTCTCTCTTGTGGTGTTTAGTTTCATTGGTTTTACAACAAATAAAAAAGACAAAAGTACCAAAAATTGATGAGTAAGAGTGGAAGTGCTGGTGGCTTAGTGGTCTGAGCGGTAGATCTTGTTGTGGGCAACCCAGGTTCAAGTCTCTCTCTTGTGGTGTTTAGTTTCATTGGTTTATCAACAAATAAAAAAGACAAAATTACCAAAAATTGGTGAGTAAGAGTAGAAGTGCTGGTGGCTCAGTGGTCTGAGCGGTAGAGCTTGTTGTGGGCAACCCAGGTTCAAATCTCTCTCTTGTGGTGTTTAGTTTCATTGGTTTATCAACAAATAAAAAAGACAAAATTACCAAAAATTGGTGAGTAAGAGTGGAAGTGCTGGTGGCTCAGTGGTCTGAGTGTTTGATCTTGGTGTGGGCAACCCAGGTTCAAATCTCTCTCTTGTGGTGTTTAGCTTCAATGGTTTTTCAACAAATAAAAAAGACAAAATTACCAAAAATTCATAAGTAAGAGTGGAAGTACCAGTGGCTCAGTGGTCTGAGCATGTCCTCCTGGGGTCAGAAGGATCTGGGTTCAAACCCCAGCCTGGTATGTGAAGCATGGTTGCGTGAAGGACATCCAGTCGTGAGCTGTGACAAGCTGCAAAACTGAGCGGATCAGGTCATGACCAGGATGAGAGAAGGCAGGACACGAAGGGGGGAGTACATATCCAAACCGCTCCCCCTGGGACTTCCAAGACAATCTCGAGCAGCGGTTATGTAAAAGGAGTCCAAATTTTCAAAAAATTACTTGTAAAATTTTTCCCAAAAAAGCCTAAGTCAACATTTTGGGCGTGGCTTATGGACACTCCTCCTTTTGGGCATGGCTTATGGACACTCCTCCCTTTTGGGCATGGCTTATGGACACTCCCTTTTACTGTTGATTGTACCTGCACTCCATCAAGGTTCAAATCTCAGCTGTTGCTTTCATGGGGAAACCAACCAGCACTTGAAAGGCATTCCCACTTACACACATGCTGAAAAATTCAGACTACAAATACATTAATAAACTGGATTTGTAATGAGGAAATCTTAACTGGTCTGTTTTATCTTGGCAATCATTAAATTGCAAATCAGTCACAGCTTGTCCAAATTAATAGACAAACTAAACCACACATCATCTGAATAATTAGTTAATTGACTGATCAACAGAGTCAGTAACAGCAGGTGTTGATGTTTAGAAAGCCAAGATCAGCTGGAAATCATGAACAGCACACAAATGTCACATTTACCATTTTATTGGACACAAACTGGAGTAGATCATTGTCAAAAACATGCCAGTTCAAAACAGAAACAGGTTGAGTCAGGAAAAGGCTCAGATGCATAACAGTTCGGCGGTTGCTCCTCTCAAAATACTCCATGCAAAGTCACTCACTGCTTTTCCTCATGACCTCCAGCAGCTCAAACCAAGAGATCCCTACAAACAGACGGCAGTGAGACAATCAGAAACACTTCAAATTTCACTAATAACTTCCCCTAGGAAGCTACAAATCTCAGAAAGAAACAAAGTGATTGTTTATAGAATAAATACAGATCATAGGAGGTGAAAACGCATGCTCATTTTATGAGCAATTAAACCAATGCAACAGCATCTGTAAGATATCAATCAAGCTACAAAATAGAATTAAATGTCACTTTGATGTTAATCCAAAACAACAAGTTAACATACAGACTCCTTCTACGAGCTATACAAGTATTTTACAAGTATTTTGCAAGTATTTTACAAGTATTTTACAAACCTGTTCCAAGAGCCACACCAACATTGCACACCCTCGACGTCTTTCTTATCTGACCCATATATGTCTGGTTTTGGAGTCTCTACTAACGAGCTGATGAGTCGATTCAGGTGTGATTGATTAGGAAGAGTTGGAAAATGTGTTGTGTTTAACCACTGAACCATCGTGGCTTTCACAATATCATCTGTTGTTTGGTGCAGTTTGTTGGATATGCATTTTAACATAGGCAATCTAAGATTCAAACGCAACCATTTATTTATTGAACTCTTTTGAGTTTATTGAGGGCTTTGTTTTCTGTGATAAAAATATTAGCAACTGTGGGATTTGGACCAAGAACTGAATGAAAGACAAATGATTAGCCACTGAGCCACGGCATTTGTGATGTTTGATATGGTTCATTGTGGTTGTTTTTTTAGTTTAGCAACAGCATTCATTAAAACAATTTATTGTTCAGCTGCTAGAGCGTTTTTTTTACAGGGTTGGAGATAAACTCAGGAAAGTGGCTCGTCAGGAGCAGGATTAGGGACTTTTTTTAAATCTCTTTCCTCTTCATGCTGTTTTCATATATTAATGCAGATACACTTAGTGTCCACAAGGTGGGGTACATGAACACATTAATCTGGTCTCTGGTTTCATGCACACATGCCTGCTCTCCATCCAGGATTCTCCAAACACTTGTCCTATGTAGAGAAGCTGGAGTCTGTCTGAAGGCAGAGAAACACAGGACACTGTGTCTGTTATATTAGGCAGTAAAAAGCGGCCATTAGACACATTTATAGTCAGCTGTTTTACCACAATAATAATATTTTATCCCAAATATTAAACAATCTTTACTATAAATGTAAAATCAGTGTAATTTTTGTGTTTTTGAGTCTGTAAAAGCGAGTCTCGCTCCTCCATTCACAACATCCATACCTCACGAGCGTCCAGAGATCCAGAGACTCACGTGCTCCTCACAACATGGTTCCTCATCACGTGACAGACAGACGAAGATCCAGCCAAGATTGACTATAAGTGCTGCACGAATCTGCTGCCAAAACTACACAAAGTCATTGTCTCATTGTCAAAGTATGTGCGACGCTTTGTAATATAATCAATCTGAAGCTGAATCAACTTTGTGTCTCTTTGCACTAATAAAATAAAGACTCGTCAAATTGAAACTGAAGCGCAGTTTTCCATCCGCTACACTAGGTAATTCACACACATCACCACAGGAGGGCGCAGCACTCATGTTTTTTTAGACTCGATTTGCAACGGTGTAATTCACACAAATCACCACAGGAGGGCGAAACACTTTTACATTCATTGGACTTATATTGTTTTGTTGTTTTTATTTGCAAATATATCTATTTGAATTTTGAACAGAAGACAGGACGGAACATAGATAGTGTAAATAGTTCTGTTTGGAAGTTCTTATGTTTTTCTCCTCTCACCCTCTTACAGAAGTGTAGCGCATTTACACTAGCTCGTTAGACGGAGTTTACAAAAGTCTCCGCAGGTGGGTTAAGCTGATTTGCGGTAAAAAGACGGAATTTGTTAGGCCTAAAATCACCGCATGAGGGGGCAACACTTTTATGTTCATAAGACTTGACTTGCAATGGTGTAATTTACAGAAATCACCACTGAGGGTCTACACTCTTTTATGTTTATTACACTTGATTTGCAATGGTGTAATTCACACAAATCACTGCAGGAGGGTGACACTCTTTCATGTTTATTACGCTTGATTTGAAACGGTGTAATTCACACAAATCACCACAGGAGGGCGACACTCTTTTAAGTTTATTACACTTGATTTGCAATGGTGTAATTCACACACATCACCACAGGAGGGCGCAACACTCATGTTTTTTAGACTCGATTTGCAACGGTGTAATTCACACAAATCACCACAGGAGGGCGACACTCTTTTAAGTTTATTACACTTGATTTGCAATGGTGTAATTCACACACATCACCACAGGAGGGCGCAACACTCATGTTTTTTAGACTCGATTTGCAACGGTGTAATTCACACAAATCACCACAGGAGGGCGACACTCTTTTATGTTTATTACACTTGATTTGCAACGGTGTAATTCACACAAATCACCACAGGAGGGCGACCCCGTTTATTACACTTGATTTGCAATGGTGTAATTCACACAAATCACCACAGGAGGGAGAAATATTTCTAAGTTTATTTAGACTCTATTTGCAACGATGTAATTCACACAAATCACCCACAGGAGGGCGCAACACTTTAATGTTTATTAGACTTCGTTTGCGTCAGTGTAATTCACACAAATCACCACAGGAGGGCGACCCTCTTTTATGTTTATTACACTTGATTTGCAATGGTGTAATTCACACAAATCACCACAAGAGGGAGAAATATTTCTAAGTTTATTTAGACTCGATTTGCAACGATGTAATTCACACAAATCACCACCACAGGAGGGCACAACACTTTAATGTTTATTAGACTTCGTTTGCGTCAGTGTAATTCACAGAAATCATCACAGGAGGGCGAAACATTTTTAAGTTTATTTAGACTCGATTTGCAACGGTGTAATTCACACAAATCACCACAGGGGGGCGAAACACTTTTATGTTTATTTAGACTCGATTTGCAATGGTTTAATTCACACAAATCACCACCACAGGAGGGCGAAACACTTTTACATTCATTGGACTTATATTGTTTTGGTGTTTTTATTTGCAAATATATCTATTTGAATTTTGAACAGAAGACAGGACGGAACATAGATAGTGTAAATAGTTCTGTTTGGAAGTTCGTTTTTCTCCTCTCACCCTCTTACAGAAGTGTAGCGCATTTACACTAGCTCGTTAGACGATGTAATTCACGTAGATCTCGGCAGGTGGGTTAAGCCGATTTGCGATAATGTCACCACAAGAAGGTGAAACACTTTTGTGTTTATTTAGACTCGATTTGCAACGGTGTAATTCAGACAAATCACCATAGGTGGGCAAAATATTTTTAAGTTTATTTAGACTCTATTTGCAAAGGTGTAATTCACACAAATCACCACATGAGGACATTTTTATTTACCAAAAATTGACAGATAAGAGTGGAAGAGCCAGTGGCTTAGTGGTCTGAGCGTTAGATCTTGGCGTGGGCAATCCAGGTTCAAATCTCTCTTGCGGTGTTTAGTTTCATTGGTTTTTCAACAAATAAAAAAGACAAAATTACCAAAAATTGATGAGTAAGAGTGGAAGTGCTGGTGGCTTAGTGGTCTGAGCGGTAGATCTTGTTGTGGGCAATCCAGGTTCAAATCTCTCTCTTGCGGTGTTTAGTTTCATTGTTTTTTCAACAAATAAAAAAGACAAAATTACCAAAAATTGATGAGTAAGAGTGGAAGTGCTGTTGGCTTAGTGGTCTGAGCGGTAGAGCTTGTTGTGGGCAACCCAGGTTCGAGTCTCTCTCTTGTGGTGTTTAGTTTCATTGGTTTTTCAACAAATAAAAAAGACAAAATTACCAAAAATTGGTGAGTAAGAGTAGAAGTGCTGGTGGCTCAGTGGTCTGAGTGTTTGATCTTGGTGTGGGCAACCCAGGTTCGAGTCTCTCTCTTGTGGTGTTTAGTTTCATTGGTTTTTCAACAAATAAAAAAGACAAAATTACCAAAAATTGATGAGTAAGAGTGGAAGTGCTGGTGGCTTAGTGGTCTGAGCGGTAGAGCTTGTTGTGGGCAACCCAGGTTCGAGTCTCTCTCTTGTGGTGTTTAGTTTCATTGGTTTATCAACAAATAAAAAAGACAAAATTACCAAAAATTGGTGAGTAAGAGTGGAAGTGCTGGTGGCTCAGTGGTCTGAGTGTTTGATCTTGGTGTGGGCAACCCAGGTTCAAATCTCTCTCTTGTCGTGTTTAGCTTCAATGGTTTTTCAACAAATAAAAAAGACAAAATTACCAAAAATTCATAAGTAAGAGTGGAAGTACCAGTGGCTCAGTGGTCTGAGCATGTCCTCCTGGGGTCAGAAGGATCTGGGTTCAAACCCCAGCCTGGTATGTGAAGCATGGTTGCGTGAAGGACATCCAGTCGTGAGCTGTGACAAGCTGCAAAACTGAGCGGATCAGGTCATGACCAGGATGAGAGAAGGCAGGACACGAAGGGGGGAGTACATATCCAAACCGCTCCCCCTGGGACTTCCAAGACAATCTCGAGCAGCGGTTATGTAAAAGGAGTCCAAATTTTCAAAAAATTACTTGTAAAATTTTTCCCAAAAAAGCCTAAGTCAACATTTTGGGCGTGGCTTATGGACACTCCTCCCTTTTGGGCGTGGCTTATGGACACTCCTCCCCTTTGGGCGTGGCTTATGGACACTCCTCCCTTTTGGGCATGGCTTATGGACACTCCCCTTTACTGTTGATTGTACCTGCACTCCATCAAGGTTCAAATCTCAGCTGTTGCTTTCATGGGGAAACCAACCAGCACTTGAAAGGCATTCCCACTTACACACATGCTGAAAAATTCAGACTACAAATACATTAATAAACTGGATTTGTAATGAGGAAATCTTAACTGGTCTGTTTTATCTTGGCAATCATTAAATTGCAAATCAGTCACAGCTTGTCCAAATTAATAGACAAACTAAACCACGTGGGCCACACATCATCTGAATAATTAGTTAATTGACTGATCAACAGAGTCAGTAACAGGAGGTGTTGATGTTTAGAAAGCCAAGATCAGCTGGAAATCATGAACAGCACACAAATGTCACATTTACCATTTTATTGGACACAAACTTAAGTAGATCATTGTCAAAAACATGCCAGTTCAAAACAGAAACAGGTTGAGTCAGGAAAAGGCTCAGATGCATAACAGTTCGGCGGTTGCTCCTCTCAAAATACTCCATGCAAAGTCACTCACTGCTTTTCCTCATGACCTCCAGCAGCTCAAACCAAGAGATCCCTACAAACAGACAGCAGTGAGACGATCAGAAACACTTCAAATTTCACTAATAACTTCCCCTAGGAAGCTACAAATCTCAGAAAGAAACAAAGTGATTGTTTATAGAATAAATATAGATCATAGGAGGTGAAAATGCATGCTCATTTTATGAGCAATTAAACCAATGCAACAGCATCTGTAAGATATCAATCAAGCTACAAAATAGAATTAAATGTCACTTTGATGTTAATCCAAAACAACAAGTTAACATACAGACTCCTTCTACGAGCTATACAAGTATTTTACAAACCTGTTCCAAGAGCCACACCAACATTGCACACCCCTCGACGTCTTTCTTATCTGACCCATATATGTCTGGTTTTGGAGTCTCTACTAACGAGCTGATGAGTCGATTCAGGTGTGATTGATTAGGAAGAGTTGGAAAATGTGTTGTGTTTAACCACTGAACCATCGTGGCTTTCACAATATCATCTGTTGTTTGGTGCAGTTTGTTGGATATGCATTTTAACATAGGCAATCTAAGATTCAAACGCAACCATTTATTTATTGAACTCTTTTGAGTTTATTGAGGGCTTTGTTTTCTGTGATAAAAATATTAGCAACTGTGGGATTTGGACCAAGAACTGAATGAAAGACAAACGATTAGCCACTGAGCCACGGCATTTGTGATGTTTGATATGGTTCATTGTGGTTGTTTTTTTAGTTTAGCAACAGCATTCATTAAAACAACAATTTATTGTTCAGCTGCTAGAGCGGTTTTTTATGCCTTCAGACAGACTCCAGCTTCTCTACAT